ACTGATGGCTGATGGCTACACACACAGGTAAAAAAAAAAAGAGCGCAGATAAGGGAAAGGCCGGTCTCAATAATCAGAAAGCAGACAAACTTGTGATAAAAGAGTAGCCAAAAATAACACACTATCTTTCCATGTACTCCCATAACCACAGTGATTTATAGTACACCGAAGGCAGTTTTATACAGGTTTTATCTTTCTTCTCTAGAGGTAGAGAATTTACATTGGAAATAGCCATGATTTTACTTTTCGATCACGCTAGATGCTGCCACTACATCTCTGGATGACCTGAAGAGTGACACTGCATGGGCTAATTGGTGTCCATCACCCCCCCCAGTGAAAGAACAGGCAGCATTTAGGAAGAGGGAGAATGGTAGTCCACAATGTCATGCACTACTAGGCAAAAAGATGCATTGTAGTTCTTCTTTTTATATTTCAGAAAATCCAGAAGAAAGGATGTATTTTTCTTCTCTAAATTAAAAAAACCCAAACAACTCTAAAGCAAAAAAAAATAAAAATTTGCAATGGTTCAGGAGTGTTGAAAATAATTTTAGGAAGTGCTTTAGGCTAATTTTGTAAACCACAACAGAACTATTGCAGGTGGAAACATACTTTGTCTCCATCTTTAAATGCTGGGTTTATAAGGATAAGTTACTTTCAAATCGGCTTGGCATGACATACACTTTCTTGGTTATGAAGTGGCTGGCCACACAAGTACAGACACAGACATGCCCGATGTGCTTATGATCTTTCTGTCCCATATTAACATTGGGCCAAATTGGCTTGGCTTTTCAGTCAAGCTTTTCACCTCCAATGGTGCAAAAATCAACAGGGCTGATTTTCCATACACTTGGGACCACGTTTTTTCTGTGCACCTGTAGCAAGATGGGTTAATTCATGCCAAAATTGGGAGGGATGTGCTGTAATTTGCTGTATCCAGCATGAAGGCTGCTGGGCAGATGGTGTGATACGCAGGGTGTAGTACGGGCACTCAAGCTGGCTGAAGCACATGCGGGTTGACGTTGGCTTCGAAAGATGTTCAGTGAGCAACAGCACAGGTGAAACCCTGCTTCTGGCAGCTTCAGGTTTTTAATCTCTGTGCCCTCTGATTGCAGCCGCCTCCCATATCTTCTTCCGATGTCAAAGGACTACAAGTAGTAACCTGCAGTAGGGACTTGTACAGCTTTGAGGTTTCTGCTACTGTATCATTTTGCAACCCAAACTGGCTGGTGTGTTTAAAAACCCCAGCCTTTCCCCTCTCCTGGTCATCTTCCCTGCTTAGAAAATTTCTGGTGACTTCTGCAAGCGGCAGAGCGTGTGTGCCGCAGAGACGAGCACCTCCAGAGGGAGCATTCGCCCCGTCTTAAAACACCACCTAAGGAAGAGGAGGAATCTCCTTTTGCAATTTTAGCTGGTTACAAGCAAGCTAAATGCATCCTACCTTAGCTTATAAGTGCCAATGGTTTCAGTGGCTTTTCCATGCCAAAGCGTGTAGAATTTGGGGTGAGAAATAGTTCCTTCCATATTGTCAGAAGGTAAAGCAGTTCAGGAGGGACTGCAGATACCTGCATACATTAACAGACGAGTGACAAGAGCGCAGTCCCTGCTCACCAGTGACAGATTGCTCACTGTATAACATATGAATTGAGTTTTGAGCAGCAACCAAGTCCTGAGGTGGAGTGTGAAACACTTGATCTTTTGTTGTGTTGTGTAGCTGCTGAAAGCACATACAGACTTGAGAACATTTGCAGATCCAAGAGGCAGAGGAGTCCCTCCATAGGGGTGTGGAGCTGCTCTGTACCATTTCTTGGCATTTTGGGGTGAGCTGCAGCTGGGCTGCACACAGCCACAGACCTGGGAGGTTACCAACAGGAGGGGCAGAGCAGTTCTGCAATATGTAAGAGTAATTCCTCCGCAATTGGCACTTGTCTATACGTGGCGCTCATGTAGTTCCTCATACCAGTGACCCACTGTTAAATTTATAATGATGTCTTCCAGTGCCATAAAACATGACCTCCACCTTCTCACTTTAGACTGAATTCTGTTGCAGGCATTTGTACTTTATAGAAAAATGTGATTTGTTACACATTATTTCACAGTTTGGTCTCCAGTAAAAATAGCATTGATTTTGTTTCTTCATTTTTGTATGTTTATTTATGGAAAAAAGGAAGACAAGACTCAGTCTGAGTTCTTCTGCAGTATGAAACATTATTTAATAAGTAATAGAAGGCAGGTGAGTTGGGATTCTGCAATTGTCTTTTCAGCAAATTAGATGTAACTAGTGTAATGGCAGGGGCATTCACTTCCAAATGAGGAGAAAGTTCAGTGTTATTCAGTGAATCAGCCTTTGCTTTTCAATATTTGGGATCATGTGTCCAGCAGAACAAAAAAAACCCCAGGTTTTCATAGCTTTTCCCAAAGTCATAAGGAAATTGTGCTATGCTGTTAAACGTAACAGGGAAAATGCAAGCCTTTTGGACTGTTTTGTTATAAAAAAGAGAAGAAACTTAAAAACCTGAAGACCCACAGATTTGGTGGTACAAAACTAGCTCAACATCACTGAACTGATTGATTAAACAAGAAAGACAGAAGATCCAAAGGAAGCCTTTTCTGATGTAGCATTTACATCTCTGTTCAACATTCACTTCTTCGGGGCGTCCACAAAGTGTGAGTCCATTTTAACTGTCAAACAGGTATGAAACAAATGTGTAAAACGGTCTGGAAGTACATAGCCTAAAACTGAGTAGTTGTGAGACCTTCTGGTCTTCCTTAACTTTGTCCCTTCCCTGTTGTCCATCACCTCTTTGGCTCAGGCAAGAAGTTACCTGGGCGAGGAGGGGGAGAAGGGAATGACCAAACCAAAAGATGTCTCAGGCTACAGAGCAAGGAGGAATAATTGTGGGGCTCGGGTCAGCACTGAGAGCTCTAACACCCACAGGGGCAGAGGACGGGGTGGGATGGCATGGGGGGGGTCCCCGTCACTTGTAGCTTCTGCAGAAGAGTGGGGCAGGATCTCTCTTCTTTCAGGGGGAGCCTGTGAGCCCCAGCTCTCCCCCTCTAAGAAGGGCAGAGCCACAACATGCCTTGCTGGGCTCAGTGACACTGCAGCAGGCTCAGGAGCCCCTGGCATGCAATTCCCCTCTTTGCCAGACCGCGTCCTTTACTGGGAGACTTTCATGTGAGAGGTGGGGACCTGCAGCATCACATCTCTTGTAAGAGCTCCATGAAGCTCTTCGGGAAAAATGCATTAAAACATCCCTGGGGTGCGGCCACAGAAACAATAGCACCCCCTCCCTTCCTTTTCCCATAATCTGCCCATCCATCGTCCTTCCTTGGTATCATAAAAAATGATAGGCCTTCCTTATGGCTTCTGATCACTTTTTATAGTTTCATAGCAAGTAATATCCTTCTTCTAACACAACCTGTTATAGCAGGTTTGTTCAAAAATACCAAGTCCAGAAATGTTCTACAGAAATTATTAGAAAAATTCTGTAGCTTCTCCAATTAGTTTTTAAAGAAATCCTGAAGTTCCAGTGCAGTGGGAACTTCCAGAGAATTTTGGAAAAAGAATTAAATCTTGCAACTGAAAGTCAAAATGCTCACAGACATTCATAGAAGCCTCAGTTCTGCTTCCATGAATGGTGTGATTTCTCTGAACTTGGGTGGAAGCAGGCATGATAGTCCTTATAGCAGGGTTGGGCTGGGAACTGTATAATTTAGGAAATTTAGTTAATTAACTTATATTTTTGTAGAAACTGTTTCTGATCATGTTGACATTATTTTTAAATCCCATTCAAATGCATTAGAAAATACTGACTTCCCTGCAGATTGACCACTTGTCCACTACACGGACAACATGTGAGTAAATTATAACTTACTTTCCCATCAACCTAGATTACTTCTTTCTCGTCCATGCTGCACGCACCAATTTTTAAAACAAAGTGGATAAACTAGCATAAGCATTTAAGTGTGTTTCCACTGATTCCCATACTCAAATTAAACATGCAAATGAAAACATTAAAAGGAATGACTTATTCATGTTCTTAGGCAAAGCATACATATTAAATTAATGTACGTGTATCAAAGAAGGCACTAAGTGCTGACTCGGAAAGCCTTGTGTAGGAAACTGTACTACAAACTGTTCGTTTAATATTTTTTATTGCTTAATATAAAACTTCAGAAGACTGACTGTATTGATTCTATCTTAAATATTTGACAATATATACTCATTTAGAGCAACCTCCTCATTTCCAAATATATATTTAATGAAGCACATGCCATTTTAGGTAGACATTTAAAGTATAAGTTTCATCTCTTTAACATTTTAAAAGTATATGTCACATTAATAACCGTACAGGGGAACAACTTCTTTGATGTAGCATGTCACATGGGAAGTTATCAGTAACACAAAGCAGCTTCAGAGGACTGCATATGCAAAGCTTCAGAAATACAGAAAAAAATTTTAAGAATGACAGATTGGTTTTAATTTGTACCTTTTCTTTGAATCTTGTTTTTATTTGTTTGCTGCTCTGGTAGGAATAATATATATGTGCATTTTTAGATCTCTTTATGCTACAAGAGAAGACTGGGGAAAACAATCAGCCAGCGATGTTTTTTGTGAGGTGATTTCTTCTGTCTGCTAAAGAGGGGAAGGCTTAAGCGATCTGCAGTTCAAGCCTCAAAGTTCCTAGCAAGAAAAGGCAAAAGCATGTCAAGCTAACAAAACCAACAAATAGCTCAAGGAGAGAGCTAGGAAGGATGTTTCAGCACATTCAATTACTGGAAAGCTTTCACAGGAGGAAAATTGTCTTCAGTGGTTGAACTGCATTTGTATACAGAGTATCAAAGTGCTGGGGTTAAGGCTGGAACATATTCAAGTTATGTCACCCTAGGTTAATACGTTGGAAACGCAAAATGGAGTAAGTGAGGAAAAAGGTGAAAACCAGCATAGCCGAGATAGGAATCTGTAAAGCAAGGAGAAAACACAAAGTTATATTCACAAGATGGGTGGCCAGGTAAGCAAAAGGCAGTGGAACAACTTCGCTTGCTAGGGAATTGAGAGAGGTCGGGGCACAAGAGCTGACTGCTTGGACACTGTGTAATGAGCCCGTGCAGTGAGATGTAGGAGCAAAATCTTCTGGTGTAGGACCTACAGCTAGGCATTTACAAGGCTGACAGAAATGTGGTGGGATGTCCCTTCTGACTGGAGTACAGGCATCGAGAGGAAGGCAGTATTCAGGACAGACGTAGAGGTAGGGGTGACAGAAGCACTGTACACTACTGGTGTAGTAGCGTGTAAAGAAGCAGAAGCATGATACAATAAAATTAATCAAGGTCCATTGCCTTCTTGAAAAGCATTGTAAAACTACATGCTATTACAGCAGTAGCATAGATCCACTAAAGATCCTCTAGCTAAAATCTGACTATGGCTATGGAACAGTAGAATAGTATTAGAGAGTGATCAGGACCTGTGAGACACCTCCTGTTCCTAGAGATAGATCAGAGCAGAATGATATCAATAATAAAACTGAGGCTATGGCTGATGACAGAGCTCAAATGTTCCTGAATCTGGACTGCTGACAGACCTTTTTTCCAACAAGGTATTTGTTGATCTTGCAGGAGGTAGTGCTAATTTAGACATAGTGAGGATGTTACAGAAGAGGTGGCTATAGAAAATAGCCCAATCAAGCACATCACAGAGGATTTTGATTAAACTGAATGGAAAGATAAACAAATCTGCATTTTCTGGATTCTCATGTTTGGCTTTTTTTAATCTCAAAGCAGTGAAGTCAACTGAACTGAGGAACTTGGGGAGTTGAGTGCAAAGGAGATTCCTGAAGTCAAAGATATATAATTGAGTCTGCATTTTGGGAAGGAGAAAAAAAAAACCCATGGAGGAGAACTCCAGACCCAACTGATGACAACCCACCTTGAAAAGGATACGAGTAGTAGGCAAAGGCCCCGCAAGAAATGGAAAAAAAGGGGCTAACTAGCATGGAAAACTGCATCTTGCTGGTCAGAAAGTGTGGGGAGAAAGTGAGATCTGCCAAAGGCTGGGCTGTGTTAGACATTGCAAAGGAAATTAAAAACACTTTGTAAAATGTTCTTTAACCATATAAACAAATAGAGAGCAAAAAAGAGGAATTTGAGGCTGCTATGCAGTAAAGATTGGGGTGGGGGTTAAAGATAACCTAAGCATTGGCCTAAAACTTTGCTTCAGTTTTTAGTAAGCATGGTGACATGTGGGGCAAAGATAGCATGACTCATGGGAATGAGAGAGCATCTGGAGCAGAAACAAAAATGTAAGGGCTTAATATTTTCAGATAAAGGCGGCATTCACATCTTTACCTAAAATCCTGAAAGAACCAAGACAGGAACCCGCCAAAACATAAATTGCTATGTTAACTCAGGAATGGATGCTGGGAGAAGAAAAAGAGGAGTTTCTATATTCTAGGAAGCATGAAAATTTTGATCTAGCTAAATACCAACTGTTAGTTTGATTTCAACAGTCAGCAGAGGTAGACAAAAGAGAGTATAGCTTAGCACAGCTTAATCCAAGGTAGGTCACACAATACTACCCTGCTATGTTTCTCTGATAAGCTTAACTGATGCTTAGTAGGGAAAATGTCCAATTTTTTTTCTCATTTTCAGTAAAGTATTTCACATGAAGTTACTTTAGAAACAACTACATGAGGAACATATCCAAGGCAGGTGAAGAATTGGCTAAAATGGAAATGGTAGCTAAATAAATTACTGGGGTAGAAGACAACTATCTAGGGAGCTACTAAGAAGCTGATCTTGGAATCAACTTACTATTTTTATTAGTGAGCTTGACAGAAGAAGCATGCCAATGCTAATGACATTTGTCACTTACAAAGACAGAAGAATGAGAATACAGTTCTGAAAAACCTGAAGGGCTTTGAGAATTACAAGAATAAGAAAAGGACGGACTTTTAAGGACAGAGTCATGCATTGAAATTTTTTTTTGTTTTGCTATAAGCTTGGAATTAATCTATTAACAGGCCAAAGACATGAGAGGATTAGCTGACCACTGGTACCTTTAAGTATGGTGAAGAAAAAGGTAAACTTGTTGTTTGCAACCTTAGGTTTCCTTTATATATAGTCAGTGCAAAGAACTAGGACACTGTGCATGACCTGTGTATGGGACTTACCTTAAACTTAGACAACAAAGGTTGAAAGTCTGAAGTTAGGTTAGATGAACCTTCCTGAGAAATGTTTTGCATGAAAGCCCTTCTTTAAGCTGTATTTCATCCTGTGTGGTGCTGCTGACTTTTGCTTGAGGGAGGTAAGCAAGGCTATAGAAGTCAGACACCTAAAGTTTCAATTATTTTGAAAGGACCGAGTGTCTCAACCCTGTCTTTGAAACGCTTTTGCAGTCTGCCTTTTGAAACTGGTGGTGGTGAGCTCAGCCCCAGCAAAGTGTTGCTGTGGGTGGAGGCCTTCCTACAATAATGCTTACTAGGTAAGTATGATTGCACTGATTCATGCCATGAATAGCTGCCGAATGTTCTGCAAACACTTAGAGTTACATCACAAGAAGTCCCAAGGTTTGGGGGTCATATTTTTATGCAATCAGTGACCCCTACTGATCACTGAATTGCAAAGATGAAAGTGCTGGACTCAGCTGGAAGTCCAAGAAGGTGCATTGGACACACAGCACAGAGGCTCTCAGATATGTCCCAGGCAGTTGTCTCCGGAGGGATCAGGCCTGCCTCTGAGCTGACATGCAGAAACGCAACACAAGATTGTGACTTACCAAAGTCTGTCACTGTCTGTGACAGTCTTACCAAAGACTGTGACTGCTGGGCATTATTGATGGCTGAAGTTAAGCCTAAATTTGCTATTTGCTATTTTGTTGACTTTTTAATTTTCCGCTCAGATGTGTGTATAACACTGACGCAAAATTCCAGCAAAACTGTCTTTCTGCTCTCAGTTTTATTTTATTTTTCTACTTTGTGCATTTGTCACCCAAGCCCAAGCTGTTGCTAGGAGACAAAATGTGTTTCAGTAGCATCACCCAATTACCCATGGCTGTAGTTCCCATATTCATTTAGAAAGCTGAAGTGAAATATTATTTTCCTGTGCCTGCCGTGATTAGCAGGAGTTATCCACCTGCCTATTAGAAGTGAGTATAAACACACACACTTACGCATGCTGTACAGGCCTTTGTGCTGTACAGGTCTTCACGGTTCATGCTCAGGTATGGAAACAGTGACTTCCCTTGCCATTAGGGTCATTTCTGTTGATAGAAGAGGGTGAAAATAACTCCAGAGCATGAAAAAAGAGGTTCTTTATTTTGTATCCTCTTTCCCATGGTTTATTGCTTTTTCCTAAGAAAACCAAGGGAAAGAGGATGCAAAATGGGGGTGCCACCAGCCTTCCTCATCCCCATGCAATAGGGCCCACTGGGTGCTAGGAGGTCAGTTCGGGTTGCAAGAAAAAGTGGGGTGCATCACCCTCCTCTGCCATCAGCAAAGATTTGGGAGCTACCCAGAGGAAAAGTCTGGGCACTATTGCACAAAAAAATTCAGTTTCCAGGAGTAGGTTTATGCATGAGGAGCAAATCCCCAGGACCCTCCAATGGAAAGCAATAATTTGCTGACTGCAACTCATCCATAGCTACTAGACTGCAAAGGTGGAAAAACCTGTTCAGCATATACCACAGAGTCTTGGGAAATAAAGTCATCCTGGACCAAATCCCCCATCACAGTGAAAATCCCTTGTAAAGACAGCTTTGAGAAGAGTTTGGATTTCCATTGCGGTGATAGGTTTTCTCTCTGAGCACCTGCCTACGTGATTAGGTCATAAATTCTGCCTTACAAGCACTCATCAGGCCAAGTAAGACCAACAGGGGCAATTAAATGCTGGAGGAAAAGACAAGGATCACTAATCAACTTGCAAATCATGTAATCAAACTGTGCTGTTCACATCCCACTGTTCCAGTGGATTTATAACTATAATTATCCTATTTTAATTTTTTTCCCAATCAATTTTACATGAGTATTTATTTTTGTGCACTAAACATATTGTCCTCCATAGACTCGAGGAGTTTTTTTATAGTCATGCTTCTTAATCAGCCACCTTGCATGGCAACTCTTAACCTTGACACATATACAGAGACAAAAAACATTTCTAGGGTATTGCTCTTGGCTAAAGTGCAGCATTTTATGGTGTGTATATATATATGTTTTGTTTATATGTATTTTACTTTTCATTAGGGATTTTGTAAAAAAATCTGAATATTAGTAGATGATTTAGCTGTACTATAAAAGATTGCATACATTTTTTAGAATGGTTTGATTCTCAGAACAACTGAAATCCTCACATTTTCAGCGGTTTAGTTAGACCCTATTGTGAGCCTTGCCTTTTCACATCAGCGAGACCTAATATATTACATACTGCAAGAAGAGTGTTAATGAGAAGGAGACCATTAGCATATACTTAGGTTACCTAATATTTTACATTTTAAAGGTTTTTAAAGGAACTTTTGGAAGAGCTCTTTTCCATATGGGACACCTCCAACAGCAGTCCAGCAATTAATATGAGGTCTCTCTAAGACTTCTGAAAAATCTCTTTTGACCTGGTGACATTGAAAAAAGCCAAGGATTCTTTCCTTTTTTGTGTTCCCCAGGTCAGAGCCCCTCCATGTCTCAGGAGATGTGGTTTCAGGTGGATGCTGCCAGGTAGGACAGATAAAGTGGAGCCCCTTCCTTGTCACTTCCACTCCCCAAATGTAGAGAGCATATTGGAAAGGCACTGCAGCAAAAGCCAGGCAGCTATAGGTTCAGGCATATATATCTGCTAACTGGCTTTAATAGCATCATGCCTTAATGACTTTCGATAGGATCTTGCAGATTACATGAGCTGTCGAATCCTGGCACGAGTTTTGTTAGGTAAGCACTGAAATTCTTGGCAAGAAATTCAGAAGCTTCACAGTCAAAAAAGGGGACAGAAGCCACTGAGTTAATGAATTATCCACGTAGGAAAATGTAGT